GTCAGTTTATGAATGGAATCCTATGAGCTCCCACCCAACATTCTATGCAAAGTGACACATATAATCATGTTATGTGCACATGCACATTTTTCCAGGAAAAGGGTTGCCAATTTCCATCTAGGATTTAGTCTATAAACCCCAAAAGTGTTGGGCACCTGAGTGGCTCAGTCAGTTAAGTGTCCGACTCTTGGTTTCAGCTTGGGTCATCATCTCACACCTCATGAGTTCAAGCCCCACGTTGGGCTCTGTGCTGACAGCGTGGAGCCTGCTTGGGATTCTCTCCCTCTCCTTCTCCCTCTCTCTCTACCCCTCCCCTGCTCATGCTCTCTCTGTCCCTTTCAAACATAAACAAACATTAAAATACACACACACACACACACACACACATATATAAAAAGAAAAATACACAAGTAGGAAAACAGCTAGACTCTTATCTAACTCACTTGTAAAATAGTACTCCTTTTATTTTAAAAAGTTAGGAAGCAGCCTAAAATCCTGTATGATTAGAACTATCTCAAGATGTGAGGAGGCAGCTTCATCCTGGATGGTGTTTTACTCTACATGAAGTGCAGGAGGTTCTCCAGGAGAAGGGAAGACACACCCTCAGTTGGAGGAGGCAGAGCTTTAAACACCAACTCCCAATGTAAGAGCTCAGGACACTACATTACATATTGTCTTTCTTCATTAATAATTTTCAAACCTAGCAAGAGATATGAAAGAGTGACAAACACGGAGGAAGGAATTTTATTTTTCCATGTCTCAGTTCAAATGTGATTGATGGGGTACCCCATATATCTCTTCGCCCTTTTCAATTCTTACAAGGACCCTTGTTGCTTCAGTGGTCTGCAACCTTTCTGAGAGGTAGCAAGTGCAGCACTTTCCTGAGTGAAATCCCACCCATCAGGCCAAATACAGAACCAGTAAACGCAATCCTTCAGAGAGAGCTTGTGGACCAGGAGACCAAACACGGGCCTAAGTCACGCTCTGGTCCTACAGACAGGTCTACAGAGCCAAGCCCAAGTGTCTTAGCCTGGCTTCAAGCTGCAGTCCATGGGGCGCCTGGGTGGCTCGGTTGGTTAAGCATCCGACTTGAGCTCAGGTCTTGATCTCCTGGTTCATGAGTTCGAGCCCCATGTGGGGCTCTGTGCTGACACAGCTCAGAGCCTGGAACCTGCTTTGGATTCTGTCTCCCTCTCTCTATGCCCCTCCCCCACTCATGTTTTCTTTCTCTCTCTCTCTCTTTCTCAAAAATAAACAAACATTAAAAAAAATTAAAACTGTAGCCCAGCTGCCCCCTTCATGCCCATGACACCATGCTGCCTGCTACACAGGTAACTTTGTCAGGACAGAGCACAGGATGTTTGTGGGTCTGTCTCATCTGGCCCCCACCATCTCAAAGGCAGGTGCCAAGTCTCACCCACCGTGTCCCCAGCATGTCTGGGTCCTGTGACTGTCACATTCCCTGTATGCTGTCTGTTAGGGATACTGGCAGACACAGCTCATCAGGGGACTATGACATGAGCCTCCCAGGTTCCACCCCTATAGGCAAGGGAAGAATGCAAAGCCAAGACTTCCACTTACATATTTTTAAGTACTTTCACATCTGTTCCCTCATTTGATCATTACAAAAGCCCTGGGAAACAGGCAGGAAATAATTCACCACCCCCCTACCCTGAACAGAGGAGGAGAGGTGCAGGGAGGGGTGTCTGTGCAAGGCTGCTGAGTGGGCTGCAGCAGGCTTCTTCAGCTGATTCCAGGAGCAGTAAAAACCTACAAAACCACAAGGGCACAATAAATTCAAGTGCTTCATACAGACACACACATATGCCTCTGGATAATTAGGAGACTGGTGGGGGGGGGGGCATGGAAGAAATGTGTTGAAACTATTTCTTTGTAGCTCCCATAATAGTCATTTTGAGAAGAAAGAAAAAAATATTGACCATTTTTATTTGAAAAAAAAAAAAAAAAAAACCGGAAGCAAGAAATGTTTAGTGATTAGTAGAGAGCAATTCAGTTAAAAAAAAAGAACGAGGGGCGCCTGGGTGGTGCAGTCTGGTTAAGCGTCCGACTTCAGCCAGGTCACGATCTTGTGGTCCGTGAGTTCGAGCCCCGCGTCGGGCTCTGGGCTGATGGCTCGGAGACTGGAGCCTGTTTCCGATTCTGTGTCTCCCTCTCTCTCTGCCCCTCCCCCGTTCATGCTCTGTCTCTCTCTGTTCCAAAAATAAATAAACGTTGAAAAAAAAAAATTAAAAAAAAAAAAAGAACGAAAAGAAATAAGACTCAAAACTGAAAGTTATCGTTCCTTATTATACTAATGCTTGCTTTTATCAACATTAAACTAAAATCTCTGCTATGAAATGTCCTGGCACTTTATGGATTTTGCTGTATTTGGAAAACACAAGCTTTGTATTTACAAAGCTTTTCCCTTTTGCTGGAAGCCGAGCTATCCCAGCCTGAGTGGCAGGGCCCTGGCTGTGGACGGATTGGTGACTGCAGGGCAGCCCGCCGACAGTGAAGCTTCTTGTACTCCTGCTTTTAGGTAATTTGGCCTTATTAAAGTACCTGGGGTATTGTCTGTTGGGGAATTGCCCTCGGCAGGCCCCCTGGGAAAACAACCATTAGGGAAGAAAATGAGGTTCCGCAAGAAATCGTGAGGCCTTACGTTTAGCCCTTGCCATCCCCTATGGAGACTCCTCTACTTACAGGAAGGATAGTCTCATGCATTTGCCAGCAAAGAGGGACTATAAAGGAGAGACATATGGATTTGAAAGCCTCACTCCGGCAACTAAGGAGTGTATCTCTGGGCACAGGTGACTTCAACCCCTAGGCCCACCTGGCCCCCCGGAGGCATTCCACATGATGACTGAACCTAGTCGGTTAAGGTATAGAATGGTTCATTAATTCCTAGGTGCACTGTCTCTGTGAGAATGTATGAGGCATGGGTTTCTAAGGCTTTTTCGGCCCCTTTCTGGCACCTCGGACCGAGGCAAACACATTGTTCTGGCCTCATGTGGTTAGGAGGTCATGTCCCTGTAACTGTTCCACTTGAGGTATTGAGAAATGGAGGGCCTTTCACGAGAACAGCAAAGCAAATGCTTTGTAGATTATAGATAAACACAGATGCATAATGGAATAATGTAAGAAATTAATCAATAATCAAAGGGTATGTGGGAAAATTAGGGGGAAATCGCCATGTTATTTCTTAAAGGTTGATTACACATAGGAACATTTTCAAAGTTAGGTAATGTTAGAAAAACACAGATGACATATGCCACAGGGATATCACTAGCAAATATAATGCCAAGTTTGCTACAATAAATCGGCCAGTTCAACACACTGCTGTTGTCTGTGTCCATTTTTATTTTTTGTTTTTATTTTAGTTTTATTTTCACCAATGCCGTTCTTCCTTCGGGAACCCCTGGTTGCTGGAGCTGACCTCCGGCACCATTTGTAAAAAATAAATTATTATTTTCTATTTAAAAATGAATTATCAGAGGTGCCTCACTGTCTCAGTCAGTTAAGTGTCTGTTCTTGATTTCAGCTCAGTTCAGGATCTCACATCGGGCTCTGTCCTGACAGTGCAGAGCCTGCTTGGGATCCTCCCTCTTCTCTCTCTTTGCCCCTTTCCCGCTCGTGTGCACGTACATGCCCTCACTCTCAAAATGAAATAAACGTTAAAAAAATGAATTATCAATATATAATTTTATTAGGTTATTCTATATTATTTTATCATGAAAGTAAAACAGATACATTAAAGAAAATTTTAAAATGGGTTTTAAAACGAATTTTAGAAAATGACCCCAAAGCTCATCACTATAAAACAACCTACCTGTGGCGTTTTGTTTCCTTTCAGGTCTTTTAAGTAAATGGATGGGTTTCTTTTGGTTGTTTAATGACGTGATAATCTTATACCACATACACCATTTCATATCCTGATTTTTCCCCTCAACATTATATCATAAGAACTGTTCCAGATTATTACACTGTCTTTGTAACCACAATCCATAATTTCCTGAACTTAAACTGTATAATCCTTTAAGTGGTAATACCACAGTTTACTTACCCAGTCTATTTTTAGACAAGTAGGCTGTTGCCAAATTTTTACTATCACAAATAATGTTTTAATGACTGTAACTTTTATTTTCTTCCTTTTTGTTTTTAGATAAATTCCTAAAGTATATTACCAGGTCAAAGTGGACAATAATTTTTTTAGACTTCTGACATATTCTGCCAAATTCCTTCCCTAAAGGTAATAGACATTATTACCAGCAATGGTAAGAATCCTTTAACTGAACTCTTCTCATTAACCAGGAAATCACCTGTACCATTTTATTATTTTTTTGCTAATAAGTGAAACTATTTCCTATGTTATTTTGCATTTTTTTCCTGAAAATGTATATTTTTCCACCATATGATTACTGACTAGTTGAACTTCTTTTGGGAATCATTATGCCCATTATCCATTTACCAACTGGCTATTTACACAGATTTAAAAGTACATCTGGGGGCGCCTGGGTGGCTCAGTTTGTTAAACGTCAACTTCAGCTCAGGTCATGAGCTCATGCTTTGTGAGTTTGCACCCCGCGTTGGGCTCTCTGCTGACAGCTTGGAGCTTGGAGCCTGCTTCGGATTCTGTGTCTCCCTCTCTCTCTCTGCCCCTCCCCTGCTCTTGCTCTCTCTCCCTCCCTCTCTCAAGAATAAATAAAAACATTAAAAAAAAAAAAGTACATCTGTATGAATATTTTCCATAATTAAAATGTTAACTCAGTGTTTACCATTTGGTGGGAAATATTATTTCTCCCATCTATGGTTCACTTAAAGTTTTAATTTTTACCTGGACATATTCACTGTTGTTTACCTTCGTGATTCTTTAAGAGGCTTCTGAGTCAGCTTCCCCCTCCCCATTCCCTTCCCTATATGACTGTATGCAATCAATTCATTTCCTCCTCAGCTCACATGGTTTTAACATTCCTTACACACCCATAATCAAGAGGCTTTACCTGTTGGTCATCAGGAGTCCATATGCCACATGTGATCTGACTCTCAAGGTTTATCTCAGATGACCAGTGTCTTTGTCCGCTGACAGAACCAACCAGGACAAACCCATCTCGATATGAAATAAGTGCTTGAGTTCCATCGTGGCTCCATGTGAAATCACTCACCTTTGAGACACACATAGACACAAGATGTCAATTAATCTGAAAGGGAAAGCACTTTTAGCAAAGGCTATAGTCATTAACTTAGCCTTTGGCTAAGAGTTAGATGGTCTTAAAGAGAACAGTGCATAAATACATCATATGTACTGTAACACTAACATATAATACAAAAGACCTCATTTGAAAAGCAAGTGTCAGTGAAGAGCTAAGTGTTTCACACATGTTAATTCTTCAAGCTTTGTTCATGGGAGGGATTATCATGCCCATTTTCCAGAGAAAACAGACACAGAGGGGATAAGTAACTTATCCTTGATCATACACAAGGTGAGTGGCAGTGTTAAGGATGACCCAGGGTTGTATGGATCCAGTGTCCTTGCTTTTTACCATTGTTCTATGGTCTCCCACCTATGGTAACAGATTTGCCATTAGTGTCTCTGGAACACCTATCAAAATAGGAAAGTTCTCAGTTTTTGGTTATATACCGTCCTCAGCCTTGCTAATAATATTCCCTTAATCAAAATGAAAAAATAACTTAGGGGTGCCTGGGTGGCTCAGTCGGCTGAGCATCTGACTCTTGATTTTGCCTCAGGTCACGATCCCAGGGTCATGGGATCAAACCCTGTATCGGACTCCACGCTAAGCGTGGATCTGCTTAAGATTCTCTCTCTTTCCCTCTACCCCTCTCCCTTGCTCATGCTCTCTAGAGACTCTCTCTAAAGTAAAAAAATAATAATTTAACTGGAAAAATTACACATACTTGGGTGTTGTTTGATGCGTTCATTGTATTTATTCAAATAAGCCCATTTAAAAAAATCTTTTAATCTATTAATAAGTAAATTGCTTCTACTGACTTCCTCAAATTATACTACCCTTGCATGCCTACAACTAGCCCAACCTGGAGATGAAGTATTGTCTTTGATACACACAGTTGAAGTTGATTTACTGATGAGTTCAGAATTTCTACAGCTGTATTCATGAGTGAAACAAACTTATGATTTCCTTTTGATAATGTCTTCGTATCTGGATTTCTCAAAGTTATGTTGATCTCTCAGAATGAGTTGGACAGTAAGTACTCCTTCCTTTTCCACTGCCTGGAACAATTTATATAAACTGGGATAACCTATTGCATGAAAGTTGGGTATAACATGCCTATGCATCTGAATTTTTTTGTGGGAAGATTTTTAACCATTGCTTCAATGTACTCAGTAGTTTTAGTACAAGTCAAGCTGTTAAGCTTTTTATTTCCTCTTGAGTCAGTTCTATTGAATTACTAAAAAAAATTTTTCCAGTTCATGTAAGTTTTCCAAATTGTTGGCAAGTAGCTGCTGATAGTATTTATTATCTTTTTAAAAATCAACTTCATTGAGCTATAATTTGTATACATTAAATAAAGTTCTCAGCAGTCAATCTCCTATGCTCATCCTTGGTTCAAAGCAACCAGTGATCTAATTTCTCTCACTAGTTGCTTCTTCTTGAATTTTACATGAAGGGAACTGTATAGTATGCTCACTTTTGTGTATGGCTGCCTTTACTCAGTACAATAGTTTAAGAGTATTCTAAATCCTTGTGTGCATCGGCAGTTCATTCCTTTTCATGAAGAGTAGTATTTCATTATATAAATATACCACAACTTATTTATCCACCCAAATTGCCAGGCATTTAGCTTGCTTCCAGTATTTGGCTACTATAAAACTGCTATGAACATGCATGTGTAAGACCTTTGGTAGATGCGTGGTTTCATTTCTCCTGAGTGAATACCTGAGAGTGGAATTAATTGCTAGATCAAATGGTAAGCATGTTTAAATGTATGAGAAATTACTAAATTATTTTCCAAAGTGGTTATGCCATTTTACACTCCCTGCAACAGTGTATGAGAGCATTAGTAGGTTCGCTCCTCACCAGCACATGGTGTTGTCAGTCTCTTTTGTTTTAGCTATTCTAGTAAGTATGCAGTGGTAGGACACTGTTCCTAATTTGCATTTCTCCAATGTAGTCATGGTGAGTATCATTTCATGTTCTTATTGATCATTTGCACATCATCTTTAGGGACATGTCTGTTCAAATTCCTTGCTATGTGTACGTATTCCCCATCCACTCATACATATGTGCTATGTGTATGTATGAATACTCACATAGATGTATACAATATGTCTACATACATATGGATATATATAAGCTTCCAAACTTATTTTGTTATAAAAATTCTATACACAATCCTTTATAAGATATGTGTGCTGAAAATAATTTCTCTTACTCTGTGGCTTGCCTTTTCATTTGCTTAATGGTATCTTTCAAAAAGTGAAAATCTTAAATTTTGATGAAGTCCAGTGTCATTTTTTTTTTCTTTCATGGTTCATGCTTTTTGTGTCCAATCCATTGAATCTTTATTTAATCCAAGGTTTCAAACCCAAGGTTTATAGAGAAGTTTAGTTTTTACATTTATATCTGTGATTTACTTACAGTTAATTTTTAGGTAGAGTATGAGGTCAGAATCAAGGTGGTTTTTTGTTTTGTTTTGTTTTTGTTTTTAAATACAGATATGCAATTGTTTCAGCACCATTTGTGAAAAAGAAAATTCCCCAGATGTTACCTAGACTTACTGCGGTGATCCTTTCACAATACAGTTGACCTTTGAACAACTAAGAGCTTAGGGGTTGCTGATGCCCTGCAAAGCTGAAAATCCATGTGTAACTTTGACTTCCCCCAAACTTAACTACTAATAGCTTACTATTGACCAGAAGCCTCATCAATAGCAAAAGCAGTCAATTAATACATATTTTGTATGTTTTACCTATTATATACTGTATTTTTGCAATCTAGTGAGCTAGAGAAAATGTTATTAACCAAATCATAAGGAACAGAAAATACATTTAAAGTACCATATATTTTTTTCTTTTTAAAGTTTTTATTTAAATTCCAATTAGTTTACATACAGTGTAATATTAGTTTCCAGTGTAGAATTTAGTGATTCATGTAGATTCTGGTGTAGAATAAGTGATTCACTTATATACAACACCCAGTGCTTATCACAACAAGTGCCCTCCGTAATACCCATCACCAATTTAACCCATCCCCTTTCCCACCTCCCCTCCAGCAACCCTCAGTTTGTTCTCTATAGTTAAGAGTCTGTTTTCAGGTTTGCCTCTCTTTTTTATTCCCCCTATTCCATCGTTTTGTTTCTTAAATTCCACATATGATTAAAATCATATGGTATTTGTCTTTCTTTGATGGATTTATTTCACTTAGCACAATGTACTCTAGTTCCATCTATGTTTTTGCAAATGGTAATGGTAAATGAGTAGTATTCCACTGTGTGTGTGGAATATATATATACACACACACATATATATATACATATACATATACATATATATGTATGTATATTATACATATGTATATATATACACACACACTCCACATCTTCTTTATTCATTCACCATGCAACAGACATTTGGGCTCTTTCCATAATTTGGCTATTGTTGATAGTGCTGCTATAAACATTGGGGTGTACGTATTCCTTTTAATCAGTATTTTTGTATCCTTTAGGCAAATACCTACTCGTGCAATTGCTGGACTGTAGGGTAGACCTATTTGTAACTTTAAAAAAAATTTTTTAACGTTTATTCACTTTTGAGAGACAGAGAGAGACAGAGCATGAGTGGAGGAGGCACAGATAGAGCGAGACACAGAATCTGAAGCAGGCTCCAGGCTCTGAGCTGTCAGCACAGAGCCTGACGTAGGGTTCAAACCCATGAACCATGAGATTGTGACCTGACCTGAAGTCAGACATTTAACCAACTGAGCCACCCAGGCACCCCTATTTTTAACTTTCTGAGGAATCTTCACACTGTTTTCCAGACTGGCCTCACCAGTTTACATTCCATCCAAGAGTGTAGGAAGGTTCCCTTTTATCCACATCCTCACCAACACCTGTTGTTTTCTGTATTGTTAATTTTAGCCATTCTGACAGGTGTGAGGTGATATCTCATTGTAGTTTTGGTTTGCTTTTCCCTGATAATAAGTGATGTTGAGCATCTTTTCATGTGTCTGTTAGCCATCTGGATGTCTTCTTTGGAGAAGTGTCTATTCATGTCTTTTGCCCATTTCTTCACTGGATTATTTGTTTTTTGGGTGTTGAGTTTGATAAGTTCTTTATTTATATTTATATTTTGGATACTAACCCTTAATCAGATGTCATTTGCAAATATATGCACCCATTCTGAAGCCTTTTAGTTTTGTTGATCATTTCCTTCACTGTGCAGAAGCTTTTTATCTTGATGAAGTCCCAATAGTTCACTTTTGCTTCTGCTTCTCTTGCCTCTGGTGATATGTCTAGTAAGGAGTTGCCCCAGTCAAGGTCAAAGGGGTTCTCCTCTAGGATTTTGAGGTCTTCCTGTCTCACAGTTAGGTCTTTCATCTATTTTGGGTTTATTTTTGTGTATGGTGTAAGAAAGTGGTCCAGTTTCATTCTTCTGCATGTAGCTGCCCAGTTTTCCCAGCACCATTTGTTGAAGAGACTGTCTTTTCTCCACTGGACAGTCTTTCTTCTTCATCAAAGATTAGTTGACCATATAGTTACAGGTTCATTTCTGGGTTTTCTACTCTGTTCCATTGATCAATGTATGTTTTTATGCCAGAACCATACTGCCTTGATGACTACAGTTTTGAAGTGATGCCTCTGGCTTTTCTTTTCTCTTTCAGATTGCTTTGCTATGTGGTTTCACACCAGTTTTAGGATGGTTTGTTCTAGCTCTGTGAAAAATGGTTGTGGTATTTTGCTAGGGATTGCATTAAATGTGTAGAATGCATTGGGTAGTACAGACATTTTAACAATATTTGTTCTTCCAATTCATGAGCATGGAAAGTTTTTCCATTTCTATCATCTTCACTTTCTTTCATCAGTGTTTTATAATTTTTCAGAGTATAGATCTTTTTGCCTCTTTAGTTAGATTTATTCCTAGTTATATTAGGTTTCTGCTGCAATTATAAATAGGATCAATTCCTTG